CTTGCTTCTCTCAGCAAGACCATTCACAGCTTCTCACTAACGGGAAACATAGTCACAGAACAAGAAAGAAAAAGATTCATCTCCTGGGAGAAAAAGAGATGGGTTCATAAGACCAAAAGAACAGGCAAAATGTAACAGCACATCATGTCTTAGACGCAGCAGGAAATAGACCTGGACTGACGCTCAAGAATTACAGGAAAAAGCCTTAGAGCCTTGTTTCCTTGGGGTTTTAGGAAGCACTTCTAATGAGCTGTTGTATTCATAAAATATTTCTGAATATTCTATCAGAACAGTAAAAAGTAATCTTCTGGGGGGAAAACGTAGAGTTCTATTTCTTGACCCACAGATGGGGAAGAGCCTGTGTGTCATGAAAACTGGAGGAGGACCGTGCTCTTCTGGGTCCAGGAAAAACAGTGGCATCGATCATTCATCTCAGATATTCACCTTCTCAGGGGCAATGCCAAGGTGCATTTACTCATTCACATGCTTAGCAAATGTCACCAGTTAAAGTCACATGACGGTAGAGGACACTGGTCCAGGCAAGAAGTGATGACAGGCAGGCTAAAGAGGTGACAGGGTGACAACTGGAATTAACTGCCCTCTGTTCCAGGACCCAACTCTCTAGTCTCTATTCTGAGACCTGCGCAAAGAGATGGAGCAGAAGTTCACCTGTTAGGATGAAAAGCACTCGAATCACTTTATAGACATCTGTATATTGGGGAAGGCGGAGCCAGGTCTCAGGTTGGCCTTAGAAAACTATGCACAACTAGTTGAATTCATGTTCAGAGCCCACTCTTGTTCCTGTACTTGTCTCCTCATAGGGAGACCCCACAATCTGCATCTCCAGCCACCAAGCCCCACCCATAGTGCTCTCATTTTGTCCCTGAGATGTCCAGATCTCCTCACCTGTGACCATGGACAGTCCCTCCCGGGCTTCTTCCACTGGCTCTGGCCTGACCCTCTGCTTCAACCCAACTTCCTCCAAGAACCACACTCCCAACCACTAACCCTCAGGGCCTGGCCAGGTAACTGCCTGGCTGTTCCCTCTAAAAATGCAATTCACTGTAAAATATGACTTTACTCTCCTGTTCTGAAATGTTTATATTTTAAGTGAATGTCTTAGATAGAAAATACCTTAACCGCCAAAAAGCAGTCTCTTGTGTAAGCCGGTTGAAGGAAATATTCCTAAGCAAAGAAAGCCGTTTGGAGCAGATCTGACACCAGACCTCGTAGGCAAAGGCTCAGGGTTAGGGTCCCAGCTCCGCCAGTCCCTATCAGGGCATGTGGAGGGTGTCACATGCTGTTTCCTGGTGTGTAGAGGGTAGAGATTACGTATCTGATACCAAACCTATAATCCTCTAAATGCATTTTCATCGGGGGAGTAGATTCGGAGCCAGAGGCCAACGCCTGGACCCAAGGACCTATTCTGATCACCCCGCACCCCACAGAACTTCTCAGGGGAGTCAGCTCACAGGCTGTTGTCCTCTCCAGCCATGAACAAACAGTTTCAAACTCATTGGTTTTTGATGGGAACACAAAGGAGAAAGCCTCCACCCTAGCCAGTACTGGTTTGGCAAGTAGGTCCAGCCCCAACTTGAGATGCAAGATACCTTTCACCCACCACAGAACTCATGAAGGCATTTTTTTTTTAACTCTAAGAACTTCTGCCCCTTGAGTGAATAAATAACCTGACACTTACCAGTGGCATCAGGTCACATAATAATTCATCGCACCATCTACCACAGGGAGGCAAAGGCCTCCTCCACAGCGCCCAGATTTTCCACTGAAACACTAGTGCGGCCAGTTGGGCCTGCAAATACAGTGCCTGGGGCCAGTGCTCCAGGGCCATCTCTGAAGCCGTGCAAGGCTGACAAAGACAAGTCACCTGGAGGCTTGGTCACTGTGGCCTGGAAGCTCTGCCACCACATCGTTGCCCCAGTGCCCGGGACTCCGGGGGACCCTGGGCACCAGGTTCCCTTCCACAGGGCGAGAGAGGCAGCTTGCCTCTACTTCTGCTGCAGGTAAGGTACCGGGCATCTATCTGCTTGTGAGTAAACTTTGCGAAGCGTGAGTAGAGCAAGAAGACAGAACAGGGCAAGACGGAGAAACCTGAGCTGAGGGAGGCTGGGAAGACGCGGGCGGACTTGGCAGAGGACAGGTTTGTTACAGATTTTTAAAATAATGTTGCTTTAGGAACAGAAAGAAGGCCAGGCCAAGAAACATCAACAGTAAGTTTTCCTCCTTTTCCCCCCTAAGATATGCTGAAGCCAGGTTTAATTTTATGTCAGGAAAGAATTCTCTCCTGAGACTTTCCTGGCGACGGTTCAGTGGAGGATAATGTTTTCCAGCCATGTGTCCAGAGTTGCTCCAAAGTTGAAAGGAAAACAGCGACCAATCGTGCGGCCTTGACTTTGAAGCAGCAGGGGGAGCTGTTAGGATAAAGACATGAGTGGTTTCTTCTTTACCAAGGTGATTGCTGAAATTCAGTCAACATTCTCTACTTGTCATTTTAAGGACCAGGGAGTTCCTAAAGGATGGAATATTTACAGGAGCAAAGGCTTCATATTTTAAATCAAAAGGGGGGAAAAGCTTGGATATTTGTACAAGTTGCCAAGAGCCTGAGAAGCATGACAGTGTGTCATGATTACTCCCATCACCATGCAATGATATCTCACACTGTATATTGCAATCCCAAAGTCTCTGATGGAATTGGATATTTAAAGAGACATTGGAACATCCTCACCAACATTGCTTACCCTTACCACGTAAGGTATATCATCCTGACCAGATGGCTTTTGTGTTTAGTATCTCTGGTTTGCAGATTACTTAGACCCATTTAAAAACTGAGGGGGAAGAAGGTAGGGAGGCGAACTCACCGCTTATCATTAGAAATGTTCTCTGCTCTCTTTATGTTGGTTTGCTTTGAAGTTCTACATTAAAACACACCGCTGTTTAGCCAAGGATCAAATGACTATTAACGTTTTAGGTAATTCTCGTGCTCACTACCTCTGATTACTTGGTTTTTTCTAGCATCAGCAGAATTCTATGTGTAGAACTTCCTGGAGCTAACATTTGACAATTATTGGTGTCACTCATATACATTTCTGTGACTATTGCTTATATGTTATTGTCAAGGGCGACCCCAGATGAAGTAAATATTGGCTTGCAGAAGAGTCAGGGAATGCTGAAATTCAGGGAAGCTAAGTCCAGGAGAAGAGGGCCATAATGAAGAATTGGCTGGAACATGGGGGAAAAGAAGAGGCATCGTTGAAGGAAGAAGTTAAAAATCAGAGATCTCTCTGACCTGGCGTATGGGCAATGCAGTCACTATTCAGACTAATTTTATGTGGCCCAAGGAATTCCATTATAATGGAGGCCTCGGATTTCCAGACAGGTTATGTAAAATAATCTGAGGAACCAAGCAATGGCCCAGAAGATAGACTGAGACAAATAGAGGGCTGGCAGGAACAGGCCAACAAATAAGCAACATAATATGAATATATAAATGGAGGTGAAAGAATTGACAGAATTAGACATAAGTATCGCCAGATTGGCCTAGTGTTCTCTCAGAATAATTTTGGGAGAACTTATTGTTCATAGCCTATAACATCATGAAAAACTTTACATTCCTGCCCTTGAGAGAAGAACAAACATATCAGCTATTTCTTTACATGGCTGGGGTACAGACATATGCCTCCTAATGTACTGATCAGCAGCATTCTCAATGGTTCCAGATAGTTTCAGATCTCCCAGCAAATGGTTAGGTGCTCATTCTAAACTGTGGTCTGAGTAAGAGCTGCCATCTGTCTTTGTTCCATCCTTAGACCCTTAGTCAGAACTGTATTTTGGGTCAAAACAAAACTGCATTCCTGTGTGTCCTCCACGGGGCTTCTGACCACACTCTAATCTCCAGAGGGTTCACTAGGGACATAGCAACGGTGTCACCTGTTGGATTCAGGGATAAATCAGTAATGAGAGGTTGGCTTTGGCTTTGGTAGTGATTTGTAGTTGAAATGTGTTCTTCCCTGGCAGAATTTCTATGAATTTAAATGGGTTACAAATGTACCTAATTAATTAAGCAGTGTTCACTCAATAAGAAATTTGAAGCTTTCCTATTTCTAAAGCATTTCTCCCAATTGTACTACACCAAGTGTGAATTCTTTACAGGGACTAGATCTCCTTAGGGCATCTGAAATAGCTCCACAGTTTTCCAGTTGTTTTCAGATATTGAGCCTCAGTCTGGTCAGTCATCAAACACGAGCTTATCCTCAGCTTCTGTCCTCCTCCACTGCACCCAGTACAAGCATGAACTGGCCCTCTGCCCGGTTGGAGGTCTATCTCAGGGACACTCTCCCAGGGCTCTGAGTGACAGGTGGGCAGGGAAGGGGTAGAGTGTCATGCTAACAGGCGATGCCATTACCTCTCTCTCTTGGTGAGTGTAGCCTGGCTGTTGATGCCCTCCTTGGGGCAGGCCTCTTGATTCTGGCTCTCTCTGGGGACTACAGTTCTGAGTTCTTGGCACCATAATAATTTGGGAAATTTCCATCAACCTCCCCAAGCCCTTCATCTCCTGTACTGGCCATGTACTCCATTCTTGCATCTGGAGTATATGGGAAACTGACTTGAAATGGGGATTGAACAAGCTCAACTACCTTCTAAGTACTGTCCACCTCACCCACAGGCATCTCCCATCTTGGTCATTAAGCTGGGTGAGTTCACACTGCCCCCCTGCAGCCCCTTTCTTTCCAAGACTGATCTCCCCTGAACCTATGAGTTATAGGTAAATTCACAAACCCTTTTCCTCAGCAAACACCCGATGAGGGAACTAAACGATATGACAGTCTTGTGAATGATCCTCCCAGCGAGGTTTTAGAAAGACCAGCCACGCCCATTGTTTCTACTCCCCAAGGAGAGCGGAGGGAAATGCCTCTTGTGTCACACACACTGCGTGGTGATAACCCTTGGATTTGCTGCCGCTCTGTTTTGTTTCCCGTCTTACAGTGTGGAAGATGGAGGCTGGTAGGAGCCAGCCACATCTGTCACCTCTTAGGAGATGTTGGTTGTGACTCCTGTAGGTGTCCGTGCAGGTATTGGATTCTTCTTTCTCTTCCTCGCCTCCAGTCCTAGTTGCCAGACCCAGGAGTTCCACGAATAGCTTGAAAGTCAACAAAGTCCTTTGGAAGAAAGAAAATATAGAGTAAACATATAAACATTCAGGATAGGTATTTAGAATCAGTGGGGCCATTCTTGAGATTTTTCATTCTCACCCATTAATTCGATTTATCTAGCAAATAAATAAGAACCCACCTGTCTATCACAATCCATAAATGATGATAGACTCTTCTAATAATAATAAAAAAAAGCGATAGCCTCTCTATCCTCTGCTCTTGAGTCCTGCACTGTTGTGCAATATTTACAGTTCATGATCTTGATTATATGAAGGTATAAAGGAAAGGGGCTATGGGTAGTAAGAGAAGAGAGAATGTGTGCCTGAGGTTCAGGGTAGACTTCAGAGTAAAGATGGTATTTGAGCTGGCTCTTGAAAAATGAATGGCATCACTCATTAGGTGGGGAAGAGAAAATAAGGACAAACCTTTCAAGTAGAGATAGTAAGGGAATGAGCAAAACAAAAAGATATGATTATGGCACAGGTAGTGCGAATGCCTTTGGGGCGGTGTGGTGAGAGTATGCTGGAAGATACTCTAGGAGTCTAGCAGAGTCTGTTGAGTCTGAACTACTAATGACTGTCGTATCTGTTCAGAGGGAGTGTGGGGTTTTCTGTGTATGACACAGGGAATTATCCAGGTCTTAAAGCAAAAGAATGATGTACAGCATGCCATTTTAATAATAAGTTTTTGACATCAATATAAGAGAGACAAGAAAGTAGGGAGTTGGGAAACAGTTGTGATAATCCAGGTAGGGCTGGTGAGTGCATGACCTAACAGGGAAGGAAGAGAAAGATATAAGACATCTTGAATAGTCAAATTAAGAAAATGATTCAGTGGTTCTGAAGCCTGGGTGTCTGGGTGTATGAAAATTCTCTCGCTGAGATTGGCTGAGAAGAAGATAGTGAGTGCAGTCTATCTGACATGTTCATTTTGAGGGGACTGTGGAACATCTAGAAGGAGCTGCCAGGAGGTGTCTGGGCTGGAGTTCAGAAAAGTCTGGGCTGAGTGTGGATCTGACCAGTGAGCAGCGGAGGCTCGAAGCTAGGCAAGTGGGAGTGAGAATGTCCAATTGGAATATGCCAGGGGGTAAGGGTGGGGGAGCAGGATGCTAAGGACAGAACAGTTAAAGGACTGCAGGAGGTGGGAGACCAGCTGGTGAAGGGGGATAAAGAGTCATCAGTAGGAGAAATCACGATGGAACAGGACCAGGGAAGCCAAGGCAGGGGAGCGTCAGTTAAACAAGACAGAAATAGTTCCAGTGTAAAACGTTAGAGGAAAAAAACACACAAAAACTGGGGGGGAAATTCTTAAGACAAAGAAATGAGAAATGACTTTGCGTGATGCTGGCTTTAACCAAACAGTGTTTTTCTTATGTTTGGATGTTTGAAATAAATGTCTTAAAATAAATGTTTTAGAGAACTTTAAGCTGTACTCTTGGATGAGAAATCTCTGCAAATGCTGATTTTTCCACAGGACGTAAAATGTACTTATATCCTTACATTTTTCTTTAGGATAAACAGTTTTTTAGCAAATAGGCAAAAAAGGAAGAGGCAGTCACTTAAAAAAGGGGGCGGGGGGGGCTATACTATACATGAAAAAGGCCATTGCTGAAGGGGGTGGAAGTGATAACAGCACTTTTTCTCTGGAGGAAAGGAAATAACTTCGATTCAGGAAAAGTAGCTTGCTGACAAGGCAGTCAGTCACATGGCTCCCCAAAGGAAGTTAAGAGACTGGTTTTTAAGGTCATAGTTCAATGGAAAGTGAAGTTGATGTTCACTTGAATAAAGCTTTCTTCAGTTATACTGAGTGAACTGTCAGAATGTCCAGGAGAAACACAAAAGAATCGGGTAGTAAATTTTCTCTCTATGCTCCAAGCTTCTAAATGTCAAGTCAGATTACTTGCTGAAAGAGCAAACAGTTTGAAATATAATGAGAAAGTGCATATAGGATGTTTACTTATTTAACATTCTAGTCCCCTTTTTTGCACATACATGCATATTTTCTGGAAGAAAATAAAGAATAAAAGATTTTTAAAAGTATGGCATTCTTCTGTGAAGAATTGGATCAATGGTTTACCCTATAAACATGCAGCTTTCTCTTATATTCATAGCTGACACATTACAATATAGAATTAAAATGAGTGTTTTATATGTTATTTCTGCTTAAGAAATAACAGAATTCAGAAACAGCAATTTCAAGGAAGTCTCAGACTACGTGTGGACTCAGAGGATGAAAGAGGGGGGAGATAAAATTATTTAAGCACCTACTGTACTTCAGGCACATGATAAGAATTGCAGTAATATTCATGACATAGTCTGTGAGTTGTGTCCAGTGCTCAAAGAGCTAAGGTGTCTTCAATTTGAGAAGTGTCAGGCTCCCCAAGGCCCCTTCGATGTTTATCCCATCATCATATGGTGTTCAATGATCTTGGCTCTGTCCTCACTCTGAATCAAGGATAACTTGGATATGAGAATGAATGCAATGAACAAATGAACTTGGGCACCTCCCTTAGATTGCTTCCTCTCTTCCTCGAGGCTCCACCTCTTGGCTCTCTTTTGGAAAACAGGCCTGCTAAACTATAATTAAACCATAAGAAGCTACCTAGAAAACTTGCATTTTCTTAGAATTATAGATTCCTTTATAACCCAGAGACTTATCTGCTCTACGTCCTACCCAATGTGGGAACCCCTCCTACACAGTGAGGCAACCAAGTCCAATATCTAGATTTGGGCACCAGACAAACTCAAGTGCTAACACCAGCACAGTCACTTACAAGCCATGTCCTGAGGCAAGTGGCTTAACCACTTTAAGTAAAATGGTAAAATTGGATGATTAAAATGCCTTCTTTGTGAGACTATTATAAAGACTCTATGTGATAATATATGTTACACAGCTGGCATAGTGCTCAGAACTTAAATGGTAGTGGGAAGAAAAAAAAATGCCTTGGATATTTTCAGTTACCTGGAACTCACTATTTTAAATAATAGTGTTCACCATTTTTGAGATCTCAAAATGTTATAATGTCTTCCCTTTAGTTAAGCCTAAATCTGTCTTATTCTCTACCCTCTTAGTGCTTTCTCTGACTCCATCTCCTATGGCTGTCCTCCTGACTCACTGCTTCAACCACTCATCATTCTTACTGGTCCCCAAGCTTGCCAGTGATTTGGCTTACTTCCAATAATTATATAACATGTCCCTAATTACCTACTAGCAGGTTTTCTCTTTGACGCATAATTTCTATCTTTCTTAATGGTTAAGTTGCTCTACAGTGAAAAATTAGTTTTGTCTGTGATTTGTCTTGAAACTCATTAATAAAACACATTTACTTTTCTTTTTAATGCAGCCCCAATGACTTACTCTGTATCTTATCATGTGGCCCCTTTCAGCTTTCATCCTCTTAAATTCTCTTTATCGTTGCACCAGATAGACAGCTCCTTTTACTTGAAAGAGTCTTCTGCTTTGTCTTCAAAGACACTGGTCCCTGTGATTGTCTCCTACCTCCACTGGTGCCCTGCCACCTCCTCCACTGGCTCTTCCTCCTCAGCTCCCAGCCCTTTGGCAATTCACAGAACTCTACCTTTAGTCTCTCAATCTTCCTACATATTCCACCTGACAAATCTGACCTACTCACCGACTCAAATCTCCATCGATGCATTGTATACTCCCAAGTTTAGTTCACAATTCCCTACTAGCCAGCTCTGTCCATATGTTCCAATGTCACTTCACACTTCACATGTCCCAAACTGGACTCATTAAGTTCTAGAAAGTACAAATGATCTCTTTAGTGAAATCTTATTACAAGATGGTATCTTATTTTTGTTTTTCCCATAGTGTGATCGCATTTGTTCTTGACACTCTTATCCTATCACTCAAACTGCTCCAGAACCAGTTTTTCAAGTAAATCAAAAGCTCAGTGAGTGTACCACCCTCCATGCAGACACCATCCTAGAAACCTCCAGGCCCTCACTTGTCTGCCATGTTTGTTCCCTTGCCGAGATCCTTAGAAGGTGGCTTTTCCCAAGGCCACAGCATGCATCTCTGAATATAAGAGTGTGGATGGCTTAATTTCTTCTTAAAATTGGAAACTATATTTTGTGTTCAATGGAGCAATCCTTTGGTACCTAAATGATAGGTGTGGATTTTGAGTACCAAAAAACCTGGGTTTGTATTCTGACCCTGCCTTTAGTGAGTGGTCTTAGGAATGTTAATAGGCCTTCTTGAATCTCAGGTTTCTCATCTGCAAAATGGGAATAAAAACCACACACATTCTTTGAAAAAAGAAAATGAAATCAGTGATATGCTAGCCCCTAGTGGGGCTCCTATCTAAGACTACTTCTATATTGGTAACTATCATAAGCAAGTAATGAGACTACCCCTATGGTCGGGATGCTTTTAAGAGACTCCGGAAACACTTAATTCCCTTCATTCTTTTTTTATCAAATGGCAATCAAACTTGCCTAAAAATTCCTCTACTCAAATATGTTTAAAATGTGTTTCCTCCCTTAAGAACAGGTGGTAAACGTAATCCAGCTGTGATCGAATAATGATAAAGCCCAGGGAGTTAGCTGGAGGGTGTAACTCACCTACTACAAGCCAGCTGACTTATCTAGAAAACACAAGTGATCTCTTAGAGAAATCTCATAACAAGATGGTATATATATTTGTTCTTCTTTATTGTGATCCTGTTTGTTCTTAACACTCTTATACTATCATTGAAAGTGCTCCAGAGCTGGTTATAGAGTTAAAGGAACAGATGGATAACATTAAACATATGGGTTCTGGACTAGAACTGCTGGAATTCAGATCTCCTCACTGTGTGCCCTATGGCGGATTATTCTATTTCTCTTTTCCTCAAGCAGTATGTGACTTTGCTGTGAAGGTTAAAGAGCTTAATAAAGGACATAGGAAGGAGTGCCTATTTAGCTAGGCACTACAGAGCCACTACACAAAATTATGACTGACTGGCCAGGAAAATGAGAAATAAAAAGAGGCTATCTCCCTGTGGT